ATAAAATTTATTGGACATGATGTTGATGCTCGCCTGTCATAATTATATTTTGTTTTTGTTCATTTAGATTTTTTTTTGTTTAAGACTTATTTAATGTTGATCGTGTTTTGTTTTGGGGTTAGTTACGCTTTAACCCAGTTAATTTTTTTTATATAAAAAAACCCAGTTAATTTTTTAATAGGTTAATTTTTTAATAGGTTAATTTTTTTATCCTAAAAAAAATTGTAAATTACTACTTGGCAGTGTGTTAGAACTTAACTAAATTTTATTTTTCTTTTTGACAGAACTAAATCTTAATTCAATAGACATCAACCAAATAAATTGAGTAACAAAATTGGTTTAAAAAATGGTTTAAATACCATTATAGTTCTTTACTTTCTCTTGTACTTTTAAAACGTCTTTCTTCGATGCACCACATTTTTTAAGAGCTTTTGAAAAGTGGCCTTTTATTTCTTTGTCTAACACAGATTTTGTATCCAACTAAAAGACCATTCAAAATTTTTTAAAAAATTGTGATTACATGAGATAAAAATCAAATGAAACGATCAAAATGTCTTTTTTTTTTTTAACTACGGAGATTAAAATAGACGTTCGAAAATACAAATATTAAAATGGACAAAAATTTGCTACAATCTTTAAATAAAAAAAAAATACCTGCTTATTTTCTTCTTTTACTCTATTTATCCACACAAAATATATATATATATACCCTCTCTTGTCTCTTCTTTCTCGATTTTCTCTATACTCCCATTTTCTTTCTCTTAGCCCATTTTGTTTAGACTTTTTTTTTTCTTTTCCACGCTCCTTTTCAATCTTCATTAGGGCGTGAGATACAACCATCAGTAGGGATGGTACTTTTTTCCGTGGGACCCACCTTAAACGGTGCCGTTTAGGACGATGGATGGGGGATATTTTGTTCCCATCGTCTAAACAGAGACAGTAACGAGAATAACGTTTTAGTTCTGTTTTTCCTGAATTATATATATATATATATAATTTACGAAGAAATTAATTTTAATTTTAATTTTTAAAAAATATAAAAGTAATAATCATTTTCCGCAAAATCGGTTTTGGCTAATTCTTTGGTAAAATACTTCTCCTTAATACTATTAGATGGGTTGGAGACTCTTTTTTTTCCTTAATATGTCAATTTTAGACGATGGTAAGAATAAAATTTGATCATCGTTAACAAAAAAAAATAGGTATTTTTCTTTTTTGAGTGTAATTCTGCTCCATCTCAGTAAACTTTTGCGAGAATCAATTCTTTTTTTTTTTTTTTTCAATCAGCATAGCTGTTGAAAGGGGAAAATCCATTTTACATTAACTCAGTCGGTTCGAATTTAATTACATTAGTTTTCTCAATTTGGTCTTTGTGAGTTATGACCACCCAATCACCTAATGTTACTTTTATTAGAAATTGAAGCAAAAATATATCAAACAGGACCTTAAATAAAACAAAAAATAAAAGAGTTATCAAACCTACGCGGTTTTTGTTTTTTAAAAACAGAAATCTAAAAACAAAAAATAAAAAATTATCAAACAGGTGCTTAAATAAAATATCATGTTAAAATTATGATTAAAATAAATTAGTTAAAAATAAAAATGAAGGATAAAAATACCTCTTTTTAAAATATAAGGACAAAAATAGGGTTCTTCAAATTAGAAGATTGAAATGAAGAAATATTAAAAATACATTCAACAAATTAGATATTTTGAAAATATAAATACCAAAATGAACAAGGATAAAAATAGTATTTAATAATATTATGCTAAGGAAATTACGTGCATGGAATCTTTGACTTGATCGTGCAGAAAGTTGACTGGAAGCGACTTGAAGAACTTGTCATCGACTCATGAATGTGCTCAAATAATTGCATTTGGGAGAGTGTGCAAGAATTTCCTCGGTCTCATGGCTGCAAGATTGCAAAATTTGAATGGAGCAATTTTCCTCTCCACCATAAGAGAAACCTATGAATCTGCAACGACTCTGGGGTTCTATTTAATCCGCTTCCCCTCAAGTTTTCGAAATGTGCGGTGCCTTTACTTCTTGCTTGAAGCGTTCCCAAACTCTACCAAGGTTCGATAGTTTTTTCCCGATTGTGTTTGGTTCAATCTTATTAAGACGTTAACATTCCTGAATATGGGATTAGAATTTCTCTCTTTGTAACTCGTTTCGATTTCCTTACAAAAATTTATTTCTATTGCTTAATTCCTTCTTGCATGCCCGAGTTAGTAACATGGTTTTCGGACTCCAACGATTTGACTCAGTAGGATTTCTATGGCGTTATCTGTAATGGGGACTCTGTTATATCGATTCTACAGTTGCAGAAATCCAGGGGGTAGTTTGAGTTTCAATTAACTTGAAATTTCATCAGTCTTAGGTTTTTCGACCATTTGAAACTTTGAAGAATTCTATTAACTGCCACTGTTTTATTGATCAATGTACATGATCTTAGATGCTTTCTCATTGAAGAAAAACAAATGAGACTGATTAATATCTCCATTTTCTGCAGGATTTGTTTGGTATTTCATCATTCATTGACCATATTACCTGAGTAGATTAACTTTCTTGCAAGTTAAAACATGTTTATGGTGGAGAGTAAAGAAGGTGCTATAGCATGTATGATTCTGTCACTCTTCTGTTTGGGAACCTTCCCTGCACTTTTATCTCTCTTAGAACGACGGGGGCGTCTTCCTCAGCATACCTACCTTGATTACTCCATAACAAATTTTTTAGCTGCTGTACTTATTGCATTGGCACTTGGTGGGGTTGGAAAGAGCTCACATGATAGTCCAAATTTTATCCAACAGCTTTCACAGGTTGCTTTGATTTATTTTACTCTTGGTTCCATGTCTAATTGCTTAGGGATCAGTATGAAATATTAAGCTTTTCTTAGTTTTGTTTTTCTTGATCTATCTTGTTAACTGTAGGGGACGATCTACCGTATTTTCTGGATGTTTAGAACATATACGATGTCATTTAGCATGATCATCTACCAGATGTACGTAAAACAAATATGAAGAGTATTTGTTGTTAAAGTTGTAAAAGAAGTGCTGGAAGTTCATAGGCAATGAATAATTTTTAGCCTTGATAATTGTTGTCTCCTTATGTGAACTAAAATTGGCTGAATATCGTTCAACTTATTTGTCCTGAATATTGCTTGATCTCCTTGTTATCTTATTTATTATTTCTGAAGGATTAAGATCGTGCTTCTTTCCATTACCACCCCCATTTATGTATGTTTCATACGATCAACAATTAGCATGTAAATTTTGCAGTGATTAGTTATGCATAAATACAAAAGTGAATTAAGCATGAATTCAACAATTGTTACTCAAAGCTTCGTATTCTCATTTCTTGAATAAAAGAGAATTTCTTACAGACTTATATAGAAGAGTCTGTAGAGAGGATGAGAATACTATTCTGTTACAGATATCAACTATTTCCAACTGATTTACAACTAATACAAAACTACTAACCATATACTTAATGAGCTGCCTTAATATGCATTCTTGGCTATTGCTGATTCAGTTACATTTGTAAAGCAATGTTGTAATTGGTGCTAAATCTTCTAAGATATTCTATACAGGATAATTGGCCTTCTGTCATGTTTGCGATGGCTGGTGGTGTGGCATTGAGTCTCGGGAATCTTTCTTCTCAATATGCTTGGGCGTTTGTCGGTTTATCCGTTGCAGAAGTGCTCACTAGTAGTTTAATAGTAGTTATAGGTCTCAATTTCTGTTCCTTTCTATCTCTTACTCTGTTTATTCTGTATGTATTTAATTTAATATGTTACTCAAATCGGTGTCTGAATTCTGATAGAATTCCCCCTCTGGGGTATTGCTTGAATTTTCTTTTTCTTTTCTGGGTTGAAGGCTCAACCTTGAACTACTTTCTTGATGACAAGATTAATAAAGCTGAGATCCTTTTCCCTGGTGTTGCTTGCTTTGTGATTGCGGTATGTCTTGGCTCTGCTGTTCACTCGTCCAATGTGGCTGATGACAAAGCTAAGCTGGAAAGTTTGTCTGCTAAATCCCGGAAAGAGTCGACGTATGTTCTCTGTGTACCAATTTGTTAATTTGCAAAATATTGCATGTTTTCATTGATGTTATGATCTTATATTCATAATAACATTTTCTGCTGGCCACTCCAAGTCTAAATTGTAAGTGTTCATCAATTTTGTTGTGAACTATATGCATCTTTTTAAAATTTTGTTTAGAATTCTATTGAAGTTGTGTTCCTCGACTGGAAAGTAGTGGTTGAATATTCAACTATATCTGTAAGACAATATTTACTTCCAAATCGTTTTTTTGATAGGGCCATTGATGTCTCTGCATTTTCGAGTAGGGGTAAATCTTTAAATCTTTGGTCTACTACTATCTTTGCCTTCATCCTACGCAAGTGAAATGACAGGTTAACTTTTTGCATTGGTTACAAATTTTGACTGTGTATAGTTGAATCTACAGATCTGGAGAATGCTGATGGTTCTTCACGAAAGGCAGACGTTGGGACTGCAGACTTTCTTGTTCAGCTCGAAGACAGGCGAGCCATCAAGGTTTGTAATGCCACTGCATTGATGAACACGCTCCTTTTCTCTTTTATTGTTACATGTACTCAGTGACTAGAAATGGCACATACTTGCAGGTGTTTGGTAAGAGCTCATTAATTGGACTGTGCTTTACTTTCTCTGCTGGTATTTCCCTTTCTCTCTTCTCACCTGCATTCAATTTGGCCACAAACGACCAATGGCACACTCTAAAGGAAGGTGTTCCGCACTTAGCTGTCTATACGGCATTTTTCTACTTCTCAGCCTCTTGTTTTGCCATAGCCATCGTTCTTAACGTCATCTTCCTTTACCGCCCTGTACTTGGCTTGCCCAAAACAACATTCAAGGCATATCTGAATGACTGGAATGGTAGAGGATGGGCCTTTTTGGCTGGTTTTTTGTGTGGATTTGGAAATGGTCTGGAGTTCATGGGCGGCCAAGCAGCTGGATATGCAGCAGCAGATTCTGTGCAGGTCAGTTTCTTCACCTCTCTATGATTGCAACATCATGACGACAAAATCTCACGTATATTATGCTAATGCTACTATGATTGTAGGAATGTTAGATGATATCTGATAAATATCGAACGAATATTAGCTTGTTGTTTCAATCTCGAATGATTGTTTCAGGCGTTTCCACTTGTGAGCACGTTTTGGGGAGTTATTCTATTTGGAGAATACCGTAGATCTTCGAGGAAAACGTACGTGTTGCTGGTCAGCATGTTGTTTATGTTTTCAGTGGCTGTTGGAATGCTAATGGCTTCATCAGGACATCGGCATGTGAATAGTGTTGCAAAATCTGTAGAGAAATTTTATAAAAACACAAACCTTTGAACCAGTTAGAAGAGAATCACAACAGATGTGGCTGCTCGAAGTGTAGATATTGTTCCTCCTAATGTACTGGAAACTCTGTATAGGGGTTTCTGGAGTTCCAAAAAATTAGATGACTGGAAGAACTCGATCAACCAATCTAATTTATATGGGTTGAATTATAAACTTGTTTAGGTTTGATTGAGTTCAAATAAATGAAAACTTAAACGCTGCTCTAAAGGTTCATCTAAAATAAACTTATGTTGAACTGAACCAATCAAAACTCATTATTAATTTTAAAATAATTTTCTATTGCCATCAAATTATGTACAGATATATTTATTTGGATTTCATTTCAACCAATAAATTTTTTTTTGGGATTATTTTTATTCTCTAACCATTTTTAGAAATAACTTTTAAAATTTTTTAGAGTAATTTTTTATCATATAAATAAATATTGGCTTATGTATTTTTATTCAAGGTTAGAAAATATATAAATAAATATTTAAGATATTATATTTACTGTTAACTCGAATATTTTATGGTTAGATTGAATTGTATTCATTAATTAGGATTAGTTGAACTAAATAAATGAAAATTATTGGACTTAAACTTCAAAGATTAAAAATGTCTATTTGAAACTTTAAGGAACAAACATACACTCATCCCGAACCTCAAAGACCAAAAGCAAAAATATTCATTTTTAGGCCACAAGATGAAATAGACATCTTTACTAAAACAAAATGGTAGTAATTATTTGTTAAAGTTTTAGAATTATTAATATTTTTTTTTTGCTGTCTTTTATTTTTTTAAAAATGATTGTATTTTATTTTCTTGGTTATTATTTTTGTTCATTTTGATATTTGTATTTTTAAAATATCCATTTCGGTTCGGAATAGTATTTTAACCTATTTTCTTTTAGCAAATTTTTGAAAGTTTCGTAATTACAATGATGCAATTGAAACTTGTTTCTAAACCAAAGGGTTCACCGGTGACTAAAAAAACTAGCGGTTAAATATCATCGAGGTTTCTTCCTCTTGAAGAATCAAACGTCGTATATATTCTCCCTCACTCACTCCCTTCTTCTCATTTTTGCCGCTCTTTTCTGCTCCGATTCCCGGTTAAACGACGGCGGTGAGAGTGGTGGAAGCTGAATCCGTTGAACTTGTGCCGTCGTCGATTTCTTCAGCGGG